CTTTCACTTAAAGAATATAAGGACCGTAGATGAGCAGATACTAAGCTTGTCAGATCAGAAATCTGTATTACCAGTTGCACTTGCATAAAACTGGATAACTAAAAATGATTTACTAGATGATTTGAGACACTCAAAAGTTTGAAACTCAGTTTTTTAATTTTGAGACAGTCTCGCTCTGTCACTCAGGCTGGAGTGCAAGTGGCACGATCTTGGCTCACTGCAACCTCCACCTCCTGGGTTCAAGCGATTCCCTGCCACAGCCTCCTGAGTAGCTGGGATTACAGGCGCCTGCCAAGATGCCCAGCTGATTTTTGTATTTTTAGTAGAGATGGGGGTTTCACTATCTTGGGCAGGTTGGTCTTGAACTCCTGACCTCGTGATCCACCCACCCTGGCGTCCCAAAGTGCTGGCATTACAGGTGTGAGCCACTGTGCCTAGCCTGAAACTCAGTTGTTTTTTTTTTTAATGAAGATCATTTAAAGTGCCTGGAAAATGTAGAATACTAGATATAGACTCTGAATAGAACTTATATCGGCATCATACATTACATTGATATTCGCTTGCTTAATTATTCTGTTAGTAAGATCAGCATTGTATACTTTTTCTCCTCCTAGGAACAAAGATTAATTTGAGTAGGATGTTAACACATTTTGACAAATTTGAGTTACTGTAAGGAAATGTTTATTGTTCAACCTATTTTCTTCATTTAAAGAATATAAAGACAGTAGATGAATACATAGCATACCTTCAGAAAAAGCATGTACATATATAATTGAAATATGACTTATCTGTATAATTTTTAATTTGAAACATTTTCTTACAACTGCTGTGAAAACACTATGAGGTAGAGGAAGCAAAGCTTAAGGTTCATTCTTACTGAACCTGTGTTTACTGGAAGTCCTAGATAGAGAGGTAGGCTTGATAGGCAGGCAGGCTAGGTAGGTTAGGTAGGTAAGTAGGTAGATGATTGGGAGATTGATAAATAGATAACAGGGCTAGTAAAGGGAAAGGGAAATCTGGGAGCCCAAGATCTCCTTGAGTTAGTAGATAGGCAGAAATACGACCCCTGGACATGGCGGTATCAAAGGTCTCTAATTACTGTTGGGATGTTGCTGGTGCAGTAGACACGATAGCCTTGTCCCTCATGAAACCTGCCTAACCTCTTCTCATCAGACCAGCAGAGCACTGCGCTGCACTTACCTTAGACTCGCCTACCATCTGAGATGTGAGAAGCCACGTTACTAATTTCTGAGTTCGAATCCCTGCCTTAGATGCCATGAACTCCTCCATCATCTGGGTTTAGAGCTGCCCCACAGGCCTGAAAATACTAATGTAATTTTAAATTCAACTAACTTAACGGGCAGTCTGCATACCACAGGGGCCTCCCCTAGGACCGGCCTATCCTCAGCATCGCTTTTCCTGTCGAGGGCCTGTCACACAGCCTTTCCACACCCACAGAACAGTGGGGAAAGGGAGAGAGAGAGAGGCAGGAATCAGATCCAGAGGCCTTCATTCTTCCCCTGCCTCCTAACTCGAGTCAGGAGACAGCCTTCAAGACATTCAGACATTGAGAAGGCCCGGGGCTGGGGCTGCTTCTCTAGCTCTGGTGTGAAGAGGCGGCCCACTTCTGCAAGAACCAGTTATCCAGTGGGGTGAGAACCTCAGGGGGAATATGGAGGCTTAAGGCTGGCTGGCTGTGGGCAATGTCAATAAATGTGCAACCTCACCACAATATCACTACAGAAAATTTGAGAAATAGAGAAGAGAAATGTACAGGTCCACAGTCTCTTCCCTGCAATTCAAAAATACATGGAGGGCTGAAACAAAGTATTTTTATACTTCTTAAGGCAGCAAGCTCATCTTTCCTGCACACACCTGAAACTATATTTAGTGTTTATTCCATTTATGTGAACATTACATTTTACTGCAGGAATACAATTATGGCAAAAGGGTGCAATCCTAGACCATGCTTAGGCGGCTCTGCAGTATGATGGTGTAATGTGTTAGATGTTATCTGTGTATTGTGTAACATTTCCAAAACCCAAACACATCTGAATTCTAAAACATGTGTTCCTAAGGTTTCAGATAAGGCATTATATAGCTGCACGTAATTCCACAGTTCAACACAGTGGTTTCTGTTTGAATGTATGTTTCTTTTTTAGACTGAGTCTCGTTCTGTTGCCAGGGCCACAGTGCTGGGCACAATCTCAGATCACTGCCATCTTCACCTCCCATCTCTTGCCTCAGTGATTCACTCAGGTTGGCTGGCAAAATATTAGGGAAAGTTAGAAGATTATAGTCTAGAACCTTTTGGAAGTCCCAAAGATTTTAATGGAATGGCCTGAAGGCAGCCAGTTCATGACGTTAGAACTCTGAGTCATAGGGTAAAAGACAGGGACGATAAGAGCTTCCCCAGGTAAGTCTGTTTATGCCACATTCCTTCGTTTCTACTCTGATTTGTTTGCTCATGTAAACTTTGTGCTGGATGGTCCTCCCAGGGGGAGGTTGAAGGGGAATTACCCCTTGATGGTGTTTAGTCTGGGCCTCCAGAACCAAGACCTTTTATCATTTGTAAAACCACTCTTTTAACCACGTTAACAATCCACGAGTCTGTTGACTTAGAACCTCTGTTAAATCTATGTTGAATAAATGAAAGGAGGACAAGGAAACGTGATCAGTTAACTGCCGTCGCCCTCTGAAGCAGCTGACAACCATCCCTAGCCCACTCAGATTCACTGTATTCTGGTGTTCGTGAGTGCATCTTATTCATCCATTGCTGACTCAAGGTCTGCAGGGCAGACCTCTGCAGGTGGTAATCTACATCTCAGGTGGTGACCCCAACATGACACTGGCCACACCTTAGCCTCCCAAGTAGCTGGGATTACAGGCACGCACCACTAGCCCAGGTAATTTTTGTATTTTTAGTGGAGATGGGATTTCACCATGTTGCCCAGGCTGGTCTTGAACTCCTGACCTCAGGTGATCCACCCACCTTGGCCTCTGAAAGTGCTGGGATTAAAGACAGGCATGAGCCACCGCGCCCATCCAACATAATGGTTTTGACGTGTTTACATGTAGAGTCTTTCCCCCTCTTCTTTCCTTTTATATATTAGTAAACATAATGTACGTACACATCTCCAGGGCATCCACTTGACTCTGACCTTAGCTCAGTGGCCTTCGCAGTCCTGCTGCCTGAGCTCCTCACCACTAGCTAGTCCTTTCAGTTAGTCCCAAGCAACTAGGTTTCTACTGACCCCTCTGTTTACAAGGGTCCCAGGCACTGCTGGAGGGTGCAGTCTCCAAGGTCCGGGGGTCATGTTGGGGTGTACGTGTCTTCTATATCCAAAGGTGTGGGCTAGGACTAGTGAGGATGGCGTTCATGTGAAAACAAAAACACCATCAGCAGCTTTTCCAAAGCACAGAAATGGCTGGAATCCACCTGCCCCATGCCCTCAAGAGCACCAAGTTAGGCTGGAACCCAGCCTTTTCTCTTGTCCTCTCTGCCCATCCCTTTCTGGGTCTCTGACTTGAATCCTGGATTTTTAAAATTAATTTTTTAAATGTTAATAGTTTTCTACATATAGGTCATAGATACTTCTGAGGTTACTCCCACATATTGTATATTTTTGTGTTACTATGAATGAACATTCCTTGCCAAATGGAGCTTCTCACTGGCTATGAAAGATAAGCTTCTCATCTTTGTTCACTTATTTTGTGCCCTGCCACTTTGCTGAGCTAATCAAGTCACGCAGTCTTTAAGCTGATTTCTTTGGATTCCAGAGATCCAATCATCATGTACAAGAATGATAATGCTGCAGCAGGGCGTGGTGGCTCACGCCTGTAATCCCAACACTTTGGGAGGCTGAGGCAGGCAGATCATGAGGTCAAGAGATCGAGACCATCCTGGCCAACATGGTGAAACCCCATCTCTACTAAAAATACAAAAAAATTAGCCAGGTGTGGTGGCGCACGCCTGTGGTCCCAGCTACTTAGGAGGCTGAGGCAGAAGGATCGCTTGAACCCAGGAGGCAGAGGTTGCAGCGAGCTGAGATGGCACCACTGCACTTCAGCCTGGCGACAGAGCAGGACTCTGTCTCAAAAGATTAAATGACTCTTCTAAAATGACAAAGACAGTTCAGTGATTTTTTCCCCAAATATACTGAATTTTTTTTTATGCATTTCCTTCTCACTTAAGCAATTTATTTTCTAATATAGCATCATGTAATTATGTAAAAATGCAGCTTTCCACTCACGCTAAAGGTCTCTCGAGTTCTTCTCTTGACCTCCAATCAGGAACCTTTGCTGGAAGCCTGTTTCTGATTGGTGAAAGTAAGCTGTAACAGTGGAATGTCAAGGAGTAAACACAAAAGCATAGCAACAACTGAGTTTGCTGCCTCACTACCCTCAGCCTAGCCTCAGCCTAGGCCAACCTGGACTCCTTCACCCCAAATGAGGTGACCTCTACATTTTATATGAAGACACTGATTTACCATTCAACTGTGATCCATCTTATAACATGGCAATCCAATACAGACAGGAAGATAAAACTGAACACAGCTAAAATACGGTGTGTTCCCAGGTAAAAGAGACACATGCTTTCATGTGAAATGGATTCATCCGATGATTGTCAGTTACAAGGGCACAGAAAGTACTGGTGTAGAAGAGCTCTATCTCTGGCAGTGTCACCAGGTCCCACTATGTGGCAACGCCTGTGCTGGGCGACATGACTCATCTTCATGAATAAACCCATAGCCAGACAGGACATGCAAACAGGTCTCATCGTTAATGGCACGCCAGGGACAATGACATGGAGAATGGCTGTATCTCACCTAGGGAGGGTCTTGGTGTCCTAGGAGAGAATAGTCACATCCTCTAGAGTTGGTGGTCGGTGTTCTATCTAGGCGACCATAATGAGCAGCTGGTGGGGGAGTAGAGTCTCTCTTTGTACTTTGCTGGAGGAAGGAATTTCTTACCATCTTGTTTTTTATTCTTGCTCATAGAACACACGTTGTGGAAAAAGGATGAAGTTGACCAGTGAGAAGTTGCCCAAGAACCCCTTTTATGCCTCTGTATCTCAGTATGCTGCTAAAAGACAAAAATTCTTGCAGTGGAAAAAGGAAAAGACTGGTACAAATCCTGAGATTTAAGCTTCCCTTGGAAAATACTTTCACCAAAAGTTCACTTTGTATGCTAGAACAAAGGAGACAAGAAATAATGTGTTTTGCCGATTTCAAGGAAGTGGTTCATCGTTACAGTCCTTTTGCGTTTTTCTGCAGGAATCTGTGAAACTGCTCATTTATCTGGTAGCAAATCATCAGTGAGGTCTCACAGTTAGGCCTTGATTTTACTCTCAGGACTTACAGACATGCTTCTAGAAAACAGAAGCCAGATGTCACTTCTGTTAAAGAGAGCAATCGCATGCTTTACTTGCAATTATTATTTAAATACCTTATTTTCCCTATAAACTTAAAAATATTATCTTAGGGATGGGCTGCTCATTTGCTTAGAGGGGCTGTCATTAAGGCTCAAATTAAGAATTTCACTCAGTCCTCCAGGCAGCTTTGCCCACTGAAGACAAAGCAATGCATGGATTTATACCTAGCCCTGCAGTGGTAGGGCTCCTGCCTGGCCATGAGCAGGGTTAGTGTGAAACCAATCAACAAGTGTATCTTTTTGTTTCTTTTTTGAGATGGAGTTTTACTCTTGTCACCCACGCTGGAGTGCAATGGCGCGATCTCGGCTCACCATTACCTCCGCCTCCTGGGTTCAAGCGATTCTCCTGCCTCAGCCTCCCGAGTAACTGGGATTACAGGCCCGAACCACCATGCCCGGCTAATTTTGTATTTTTAGTAGAGATAGGGTTTCTCCATGTTGGTCAGGCTGGTCTCAGACTCCCGATCTCAGGTGACTCGCCCGCCTCGGCCTCCCAAAGTGCTGGGATTGCAGGTGTGAGCCACCACACCCGGCCAATATTGCTTTATTATACAAGGCACAGTGTTAGGTTCTGTGATCAGGCCCTTTTCCAGGAAGGAGTCCTTGAGCTAAGGAGGCCAGCTGTAGGAATGAGCACTAGAAAGAAATAATGTCCACTGTGTTAGATGGATTTTATATGAATTATTACTTCAAGAGAGAAAATTTATATTGTGTGGTTAATGAAATTCCTTCCCTTTTAAAAATCAGATCGTTACACGCATGCTAGTTTGGTGGATAAGGCATTGCAGCTCTTGAAGGAAAGAATACGAAAAGGGGACCATCTGGCATATTTCCTACGAGGGCAGCTCTATTTTGAAGAGGTATTATTTTTTGTTTATTCACTTTCATTTCTTCTAATTATGTTGTTAGCTCCTCAGAGGAAAACTTCATGTAGAGTTTCTTACTGTGTTACACTAGGAACATTCTGTCAAATTACACCGACTCTGCCTGTGGCTTTAAGTAGGATACAGTGCTGCCAGCTTACGGAGTTAGCTGACCTTTCTTCATAAAATCCATGTCAGGAATGCCATTTATGGGAGTCATTTTAGTATAAAATCAATTTTACATTATAGATTAAAAATCAAATTTTTATATTTTTGCTCAAAATATTTAATAATACAAATTATATTATCAGACCAGGTGGGGTGGCTCACATCTGTAATCCCAGCACTTCGGGAGGCTGAGGTGGGTGGATCACCTGAGGTCAGGAGTTGGAAACCAGCCTGGTTAACACGGTGAAACCCTGTCTCTACTAAAAATACAAAAAAAAAAAAAAAAATCGCCAGGCATGGCGGTGTGCGCCTGTAACCCCAGCTACTTGGGAAGCTGAGGCAGACAACTGCTTGAACCCAGGAGGTGGAGGTTGCAGTGAGCCAAGATGGTGCCACTGTACTCCAGCCTGGGTGACAGAGCGAAACTTCCTCTCAAAAAAAAAATATATATATATATGTATATATATATATATATATATATATATATGTGTGTGTGTGTGTATATATATATATATATATATATATATATATATATATATATATAATCAGATAGCTTCGTATTAATACTCATTGGAACCCTGGTTTTTATCTAGTACGTAGAGGCAGCTTTACGTGTCCCTGGCTAGCATAGGAGGAAGTCGCCCTCTTTCGCCACATCACGTTGAGGTAGCCTGGCAAGTAGAGTGAGCTGTCACCCCAACTTCAGTAATGTCATTTCCCTTTTTCATTGACTTCCACGGGAAGACTGGAAGACTGTCCTTCATTCACAGAGTATTTGGGCAGCTGTTCACCTACATCCCACTTTTCGACGGCACCTTTATCCATCCTGGCAACAGATGTTTGCTGAGGGCCCATCGTGTGCTTGTCACTCTGAGAATGGCAGAGCACCATGGTGGAGAGCGTGCTTCCTCAGCGTGGGGCATGGGTTCAGATATGGCTGCGTTGCTTGTTAACTGTATGTTTAACTTGGGCACAAACACTTGACCCCTTCGTGCCTCTGTTTGAGAATACTTTTTTTTTTTTGAGAGAGAGAGAGAGTCTCGCTGTTGCCAGGCTGGAGTGCAATGGCGCAATCTCGGCTCACTGCAACCTCTGCCTCCTGGGTTCAAGCGATTCTCCTGCCTCAGTCTCCTGAGTAGCTGGGATTACAGGCGACCACATCTGGCTAATTTTTTGTATTTTTAGTAGAGACAGGCTTTCCCCTGTTAGCCAGGATGGTCTCGATCTCCTAACCTTGTGATCTGCCCGCCTCAGCCTCCCAAAGTGCTGGGATTACAGGCATGAGCCGCTGTGCTGGGCCCGGGATTACTTTAAGATCATAATGAAATATCTTCTGGGTGCTTCTAGGGATGGTATGAAGAAGCATTAGAACAGTTTGAAGAAATCAAGGAGAAAGACCATCAAGCAACTTACCAGCTAGGAGTGATGTATTATGACGGGCTGGGGACCGCTCTAGACGCTGTAAGTTCGTGTCTTGGTCACAGTGGTTAAGATTGGACTGTCAGTGGCTTATTGGACACAATTAAAATTGTATTTTAATACATATCTATGCTTATATTTGAATGACATCTAGATTTTTAGCATTTTAAAGAATATTGGTATTTTTACATTTATATAAAAAACATTTTTAAAAAATCAATTTCTTTTTGCCTCTCTTCCCTTTCTCCATCCCCAACCCCAACCCCAGAATATCAGTTTCTCTCCAAAACCCTTCCAGATTCACATAACTGGGTATTACCCACATATATACGTAGGTATTTAGCATATCATAAAATTGCTATTTCTGTTCAGGCACGGTGGCTCACGGCAGCACTTTGGGAGGCCAACGCAGGTGGATCACCTGAGGTCAGGAGTTCGAGACCAGCCTGGCCAACATGGTGCAACCGCATCTCTACTAAAAATACAAAAATTAGCCAGGCATGGTGGCAGGCACCTGTAATCCCAGCTACCTGGGAGGCTGAAGCAGGAGAATCACCTGAAACCGGGAGGCAGAGGTTGCAGTTCGCACCACTGCACTCCAGCCTGGGTAACAAAGTGAGACTGTCTGAAAATTTAAAAAAAAAAAAAAAAATGTTATTTCAGATTTAAGAGAAATGGTGATGGGATAATTGGATTACCATTTAGCATTCCACCTTTTTAGCTGTTCTTGTTTTTTGGTTTTGTTTTTTGTTTTAGAGATTGTAATATGCACTTTCAAATGTCACAATTTATGTAGAGTTAATAGCGAGTTACTTCAGGTGAATCATAGGAACGTTGAAGAAGTGTTTTCATTCACCCAGTCCCAATCCTTGGTGCTATTTGTTCTGGTATATATGTTACATTTATATGGGTCATCAACACCAGAATACAAATTACAGTTCTAGTTTTTGCTTTGGTCACACAGCTTTGAGAAAAAGAGAGAAAAATATGTACACACGTGTATGAGCGCTCATGTGTGTCCTCTGATGTCTGCTACATCTTTCAGGTGCTCACCTTTCCTTGCTATCAGCCTGAGCTGCCATCTGGCACCATTTCCTATTTCTTTCAACCTCAATGACTGAATCTCACTCTGTCATCCTGGCTGAAGTACAATGGCACAATCTCAGCTCACTGCAACCTCTGCCTCCTGAGTTTAAGCAATTCTCCTGCCTCACTCAGCCTCCCAAGTAGCTGGGATTACAGGTGCCACCACCATGCCGAGATAATTCTTTGTATTTTTAGTAGAGACAGGGTTTCACCATGTTGTCCAGGCTGGTCTCAAACTCCTGACCTCAGGTGATCCACTTGCCTCGGCCTCCCAAAGTGCTGGGATTACAAGCGTGAGCCACCGCACCTGGCCCTGAATGATTTTCATTAAGGGGCATTTCTTGTAGCATGGGTCTGGAGTTGATGAGTTTTCTCGTTGATTTTGCTAAACAGTTAAGAATGCCTTTAATTTGCCTTCATTTTTTATGAATTATTTTTCTGGATGACAATTCTTTCTGTCCACACTTTATGTCATTTTAAAATCATCTGGTCTTCATTTCTCATGAAGCTGGTCCGTAGTTTGTTTGTTTTTTTTAGATGGAGTTTTCCTCTTTTTGCTCAGGCTAGAGTGCAATGGCACAATCTCGGCTCACTGCAACCTCTACCTCCGATTCGTGATTCTTTCACCTCAGCCTCTGCAGTAGCTGGGACTACCGGCACATACCACTGCGCCTGGCTAATTTTTGCATTTTTAGTAGAGACAGGGTTTCACCATGTTGGCCAGGCTGGTCTCAAACTCCTGAGACCTCAGGTGATCCACCCACCTCAGCATCCCAAAGTGAGTCACTGCGTCCAGCCCAGTCCCTAGTTTCATTGAATGTAATATGTCATTTTCCTCTAACTGCTTTCAATCTTTTCTTTATGTTTGGATTTTAGCAGTTTGAGGATGATGTGTGCCTGGGAGAGGATTCTGTTTGTCCTGCCTCGGATTCACTGAACTCTATGGATCCCTTACAGTTGCAATTTTCAAGAGTAATCTCTTCTTTGGCCTGCTTGCTTGGTACTTTCTGGTACCTATAGACAATGTTTTAAATATTTTGTCCAGATTGAATCGTAATCTGTCGGAAGATGTATTAACTACTTCACTTGACAACTGTTACCTGAAATTATCTTACTGTCCAGTTCAGGGGGAAATGGTAGATATCTACTTCACATATTCACAAAAGTAAGTCCCTATAATTTAGGCATCACGAAAACTCCTTTACTTTCTCATCTACTACTGCGGTGTTCAGCCAGCAATAGCACTTTGAGAAAGCAGTGAGGGAAAAGCTAGAATGAAGTTTATCAAAATGTATTTGAGGTCAGGCGTGGTGGCTCACGCCTGTAATCCCAGCACTTTGGGAGGCTGAGGCAGACAGATGACTTGAGGTCAGGAGTTCGAGACCAGCATGGCCAATGTGGTGAAACCCTGTCTCTACTAAAAATAAAAAAATTAGTCAGGCATTGGTGGCGCATGCTTGTAGTCCCAGCTACTTGGGAGGCAGCAGTGGGAGGCTGCAGTGAGCCAAGATCACTCCACTGTGCTCCAGCCTGGGTGACAGAGCAAGACTCCATCTCAAACAAACAAAAACCAAAATATGTTTGCTTGTCCAACGTTATTTTCTTCTTTTGGTTGATGTTTAAGGGTTTGTGTTTGATGGATTTGGGGGTGGCGGGTGCTGATATGGTCTTGCTAGTGGTTAGAATATCATCTGTGCTTTCCTTGTGAATACTGTCATATTAGTGACTAAGATTTGTATATTAGATGCAAACTCTGAGCACACAGTAAAAAGTATGCCTGAATGGAAGACAGTATTCGTTAGGGGCTCAAACTCCTGACCTCAGGTAATCCACCCACCTCAGTCTCCCAAAGTGAGCCACTGCGTCCAGCCCAGTCCCTAGTTTTATTGAATGTAATGTGTCATTTACCTGAAGAAAATTATTGATTCTCCATGTCCCAAAGCAAGGCACTTAAAATTTGCAGCTGCTTACAACCTTAGAAGAGCTTATTATGAAGGAAAAGGTGTCTGGGTGACAGAGCAAGACTCCATCGCAAACAGACAAACAAAAACCAAAATATGTTTGCTTGTCCAACATTATTTTCTTCTGGGTCATGTTTATAGGTTTGTGTCTGATGGATTTGGGGGGTGGGGGGTGCTGATCTGGTCTTGCTAGTGGTTAGAATATCATCTTGTGACTTTCCTTGTGACTACTGTCATATTAGTGACTAAGATTTGTATATTAGATGCAAACTCTTGAGCACACAGTAAAAAGTATGCCTGAATGGAAGACAGTATTCGTTAGGGGCTCCCAAGTGTATTGTAAGAATTAGAAATGTGAAAGAAATTCCTGACCATTCTTGCACTTTAGTCAGCTCTAACAACTCTGCTAATTCAGGATAAGGATTCTTAGATGGGAGGGAGAAGAGAAAAAAGGAAGCCCACATTGAGACTTAAATTAACTCAGGCAGCTGTAAAAGGAAGGAAATGTCTTATATCCCAGAACTCCTGGGAGTGCCTAAATAGGAGATGTACTTTTAGAAATTCTTTTCGTCCGTAACACTTGCCCTGCAGAATCCAGGACAGTCGGACTGGGCACAGATTCATGCTATTACACATCGTGTCAGAGGGCGGACACTTCACAGCCTTATTGGGAGAAAGAAATTCAGTTTGGATAAAACTAAAAATTAGGGGTTTTTTGTTCTTTCTTTTGTCAAAGGAGAAAGGGGTGGACTATATGAAGAAAATTATTGATTCTCCATGTCCCAAAGCAAGGCACTTAAAATTTGCAGCTGCTTACAACCTCGGAAGAGCTTATTATGAAGGAAAAGGTGTTAAACGATCAAATGAGGAAGCTGAAAGGTAATCCTGCCCGAGAACAAGATTAGGATTGAATGCAATGCTGAAACCAAGAATAACATGCCTCACTTTCTCTTGTAGACTGTGGCTTATTGCAGCAGACAATGGAAATCCCAAAGCCAGTGTGAAGGCTCAAGGCATCCTCGGGCTGTATTACTCAACCAAGGAGCCCAGAGAGTTAGAAAAGGTGACATGCCCTTCTTTCTTTTTTAATGCTAGTGTTATATTTAGATTACTATTTGTTTCACTACTTCTTTTTTGAGAAAATGGTGGGGAATAAGTCTGTGGTTTTAAATATGTCTTCTATTTCCTTAAAATGTAGAGAAAGTGTACATTTTGAGATCTCAAAGCCTTTTAATTATGTCACCTTCCCTACCTCTACCAAAGGAAACCATGAATCAGAGTATTTTGTGTACTATACTATCAAAGCTAAAAAAAGAGAAATGGTCCTGAAATTAAGGCCAAAATCTTTTTAAGTATGAATAGATTAATATTACCTTTGATTTGATAAATGATACTAATAAGTAAAAGATAGAAGTAGTTACAAATTAAGTCCATCTAAGATTTTCACAGAAATATAATCTTTCATCAATGATTGAAACAGTTTCCAAAAAATCCTACAGGGAGAAGGAAATGGTGGGGAAGAAGTAGGTGGGTTTTATATTTAAAACCGTCGGGGAGAGACGTTAATGGCAAATTTGCAAGAGGCACGTAACAACTAAGGCCATCTTCAGATACATGAGCAGCCACCTGCAATTTTTTAAACTAATTCAGATTCACTGCAGCAGACTATGAAGCAAATGTGCTTGAGACTACATATAGCGTTTATCCTTGGTTGCCCCAGCACAGCAGCTACCATCTCTAGAATCCACCGGGAGCTCGAACTCTCCCGTAGCATCAGCGGTTCTCCGCCCCCCCTGCTGTGCCTCAACCCTTTCAGACACTATTTGTTCCTATTTGGTATGTTCCTGATCCTTGCTCTGGAAGATCCCCAGATCCTGAAACCTAGGACAGCTGGTCTTCCTCTGCTTTAAGCTGTCTGGACTGTGACCTCACCCGCACTGTGGACAGACAGCAGAGGAACTCACCTCCATACTGTTTGAGGCATGTGTGCTAGCGTGAAATCTGTCCAAAGGCCTACAGCTATTTCCTAGAGATGATTAATAGTGCTATCTTGTAACCACAGATTTCTTTTCTGTCTAGTATTCCCTTATAATTTCATCGAGTGGATCATAAATAAAATGATGAAACTATGCTTTTCTCAGGCATTTTACTGGCATTCAGAGGCATGTGGCAATGGAAATCTGGAGTCCCAGGGTGCGCTTGGTCTCATGTACTTGTACGGACAAGGCATCCGCCAGGATACTGAAGCTGCCCTGCATTGCTTAAGAGAAGCAGCAGAACGGGGAAATGTCTATGCTCAAGGGAATCTCGTGGAGTATTACTACAAGATGAAATTTTTTACAAAGTGTGTTGCATTTTCCAAAAGGTGAATATCTCTGTTTTGTGCTGCTGTAACAGAATACTACACGATAGGTAATTTATAAGGAACAGAAATTTCTCACAGTTCCAGAGGCCAGGAAGTTCAAGATCAAGGTAGGTTTGGTTGTCTGGTGAGGGCGGCAGCCTCCAGAGGGGAAGACCATTATGTACTCATGTGACAGCAGAAAGCTACAGGAAACCTCTTCTATAAAAAGGGCTTTCGTTCTATTCATGAGGGAGGTGCCCTCATGGCCTGATGGCCTCTTAAGGGCTCCACCTCTTGATATAGTCACACTAGTAACACTGGAATTTGGGAGGGAACTTACTATTCAAACTATAGCAATGTCTGAATAAATAAACTGGATCAAAGTACAAGAACTCCTACTAGATGTTCTATACCAAATCCTTCACAGAGCTTCTGCAATATTAGAAATGACAGCTACTGAGCACTTGAAATGTGTCAAGTGCAACTTAGCACTCAACGTTTAACATTTTAATTAACGTAACTATTCATATTGGCTAGTGGTTACCATACTGGATAGCACAATTCTATGCAATTAGCCTTCTGGATTTCAGTGCTATTAGCTGAAGCAAGTTTCTTCAGCAGCAATTGCTTTCTTTGTAAGAAGAGAATGCTTTTACAGCAGGATTATAATGTGCTTAACACAGCTTGGCATATCACAAATATTTATTATGTCTTCATTTCTTCCTACACTCCTTGGTCATGCAGTTCTGTAAGTGTACAACTAAAACAGAGCTTCGTAGGAACTGTAACATGAGAAGATGGTTAAAAGACCGACACTGTATGTAATAAAATATATAGTAAAGTCTTTTTCTGGAGTCCGTAAAGCTCCATGTACTTTCCGACACATATTTACCCACAGTGTATAAAAGCGATGTGTCAGTGAGACAGACCTGGGTGTTCTCTGCAGTGGCCATCAGACTCTGCGTGTGCTGGTATGTTTCCCAGCGCCGGGTCTCCCCTCTCTCCAAGCCTTAGTGCAGGGCAGTGATCTACAAGAGAGAATGAAGCAGAGGAGGAGCTGCTTTTAGCCCCTTCCCCACTGTCTTGGGCTCCAGGCAGCAGACCACTTACAGGAGTGATTGCCAATGTCTCCAAGCAAGGGCTCATCTCAGTTAGAACTAAGACTTTAAATCTTTAAAATCTTTGGCGCTTTCCGTTATTTTCCACATTCCTACTCGTTGTGGTTAACATGGAGTTAATGCTGTGGTTACCATGGTTAACATGTTCACCTACATAACACTGTGATTAACATGGAGGTTAACATGGAGTTGACTGGATCGCATTTTCACACAATTCTCCATGTTTATGTCTGGGTATAAAGGATGATGACTTTTCATTGCCCGTTTTTAAAGAAGATGTGCTACTTTACTTAAAAGGTTTTCTGGTCCCATGTGGCTAGTCCAAATTTAAGGTTATGTTTCCATACGTGATCCAAAGAAATAGAAAATGCTTTCTCCTCCATTCAGTTTAAATCCACAGTGACATTAAACTTCCAAAAGTAATACTACAAGAAAAAAGAAACATACCTTTGCTTTCTAGTGGTTATTGAGCCTGCTGAGCATAATTATAGAGATGTAAAGTCACCGCTATGTTAAGTTCATCTCCTGGCAGGAGTTGGCTACATGAACCCTTCACCACACAGCAAACTCAGTTCTCAAAGCAGCAGAGAGAAATCCCTTTGGGCACAAGGACTTTCTAGGCACATCATTTTAGACTTAAACCATAACTGATGTCCTCTTCAATTTCACAACTCTACATCCTCTCAGGATTGCTGATTACGATGAGGTTCATGACATCCCCACGATCGCCCAGGTCACAGACTGCCTCCCGGAGTTTATCAGCAGAGGCATGACGATGGCATCCTTCTACCACGCAAGGTGTCTTCAGCTTGGCTTGGGCATCACCAGGGACGAAGCAACAGCCAAACACTATTATTCTAAAGTAAGCTTTGGAACAAAATAGAAATTGACCCAAAGAGAAACTGCCAGGCTTTTAGCTGCAACTTGAATGATTTTATGGATTAGTGGTTTCTTACCACTCAATTACTGGGTAGATAACCTTTGTCTGCGGAGAGGCTGTCAGACATGCAGATTGTTTGCAGACAATTCCGTCAGATTCTTATTAGCATAATTTAGCTCAAATGATTAAAAGTACTATTTTGATGCAAATTACTCTTTCATTCTGCCACGATCTGCAGCCTAAGGCCCAGCACCAAGACCTTAAAGCTGGAACAGTTAATGTCTTTCATCTAGAAAAAGTGTGAACCTGTGTGTTCATTCTAGTATGAAAAGAAATATAAAGTTTTTTTGGGCATGACATCTACCACACTTAGGAGGGATATTCCTGAGTCTGAGGTAATCAGTTAAAATAAGCTTTTCATATTTTAATCCATATGACCAATTTATTTAGATCCCAAATGCATTTCACATCTAAAATAAAGTAACTACTAAAAAGCAAGGGGTGTGGTAGTGGAGGGGGTAAGGGAGAGCATTATAAATACTAACTCTAAGTTTAAACAGCCAAAAAGCTGTGCACATCTTAGGTCCATCACATTCATGAGTCCAAACTAGAATTACATCATAACAGACTTTGTAAAACAATGGTGTGGTACACAGATTGTTCAGCTTGCGTGGGGGAACGATGGAAGGAACAGTCTTTTGAGTCCTGTGTCTGACTCTGATATCACAGCAGTGGTTCCCAGGCTTCTCTGCATGTTAAAATCACCTGAGGATCTTTTACAAATTCCAAAGTTCAGGCCTTATATCAGAAAATCTCAGTCATGGTCTCTAGGAGACAGAAGCATATTTGTTGAAGCTCCCCATGGGATTCCAATGTTAGTAGGTAAGTTTGGGAACCCTAAATTACTATGCTTAAAATTAAAACTTCCAGAGCATCAAAGTCATATTAACACATAAACACAGCACACAACCAAATGCAACTGGCCTTTGAGGTACTTACCGCTATTTTTTTTTTTTTTTTTTTTTGAGGCGGAGTTTTGCTCTTGTTACCCAGGCTAGAGTGCAATGGCGCGGTCTCGGCTCACCACAACCTCCGCCTCCTGGGTTCGGGCAATTCTCCTGCCTCAGCCTCCTGAGTAGCTGGGATTACAGGCACGCACCACCATGCCCAGCTGATTTTTTGTATTTTTAGTAGAGACGAGGTTTCTCCATGTTGACCAGGATGGTCTCGGTCTCTTGACCTTGTGATCCACCCGCCTTGGCCTCCCAAAGTGCTGGGATTACAGGCTTGAGCCACCGCGCCTGGCCTACACCATTCTTAGTATAAGAGTTGTCTAACTTTTTTCATTTAAATGCTCTCTATACTGGCCGGGCGCAGTGGCTCATGCCTATAATCCCAGCACTTTGGGAGATTGAGGCGGGCAGATCACTTGAGGTCAGGAGTTTGAGACCAGCCTGGCCAATATAGTAGAGACGGGGTTTCACCAAAAATACAAAAATTAGCCAGGTGTGGTAGTGCGTGCCTGTAATCCCTGCTACTCTGGAAGCTGAGGCAGGAGAACTGCTTGAACCTGGGAGGCGGAGGTTGCAGTGAGCTGCAATCATGCCATTGCACTCCAGCTGGTACTCTGTCTCAAAAAAAGAAAGAAAAAAACCAGCTCTCTGTATTACATCAATTTCCAAACAAGTCAATTTCAGGTTCTATGCTATGCTTAATATCCTTAGAAAATTCTAGTCAATGAGACTTAGAAATTCTCTTAAAAAAAAAAGGAGGAAAAAAAAGGAAAGAAGGAAAACTCTATCAAACATATTCTGAAATGTGGTATATATTCATCCTGAATAAAACAGTAAAACAAGGCTGGGCATGGTGGCTCATGCCTGTAATCCCAGCACTTTGGGAGGCTGAGGTGGGAGGATCACCCGAGGCCAGAAGTTTGAGACCAACCTGGCCAACATGGCAAAACCCCGTCTCTGCTATAAATACAAAAATTAGCCCATGGTGGTGGCACATGCCTGCAGTCCTGGCTACTTGGAAGGCTGAGGCAAGAGAATTGCTGAACCTGCAAGGAGGAGGCTGCAGTGAGCTGAGCTTGTGCCACTGCACTCCAGCCTGAGTGACAGAGCGAGACTCCATCTTAAAAAAAAAAAAAAAAAAGGGTCGGGCGCGGTGGCTCATGCCTGCAATCCCAGCACTTTGGGAGGCCGAGGCGGGTGGATCACGAGGTCAAGAGATCGAGACCATCCTGGTCAACACGGTGAAACCCCATCTCTACTAAAAATACAAAAAATTAGCTGGGCATGGTGGTGCGTGCCTGTAGTCCCAGCTGCTGGGGAGGCTGAGGCAGGAGAATTGCCTGAACCCAAGAGGCGGAGGTTGCGGTGAGCCGAGATCACGCCATTGCACTCCATCCTGGATAACAAGAGCAAAACTCCGTCTCAGGGAAAAAAAAAAAAAAAAAAAAAACGCAAAACAGATTGCAATCTGAGAACGACTTTCCATATGATGGGAGAAAATAGCCCCATTACTCTGCATTAAAAAGACCACATCTAGAATACTCAACTCAGTCTGGGCCATTATACATTATGAGGATACTGATAAAATGGAGATCATTTTGAGGTAGTAAACTAGTGAAGGGTCTGGAATGATGTCATCTGAGGGAGACTGTCTCCCTCAGAGCCAAAGGACAGGAGGGGTCCTGACTGTGGCCTTCACCAGACCGGCAGTGACCCATAGGAAGGGAACGGGCGGGGAGTGAGCAGAATCAGAGCCCATGGCAGGCAGTGTGTTATGGCAGAAGGTGAGGCAGTAAGATGGTAACTGGGACCTGAAGGTGACAGACCCAGGACTGCTCTCAGCTCTGCCACTGTCAGGCAGGATGACTCCAACTTCCTGGAGTCTTAGGTTTCTGTGAAACCATCATTATGTATTCCGTTAGGACCTTTGAGTGATTCTAGAGTACATGGAGAGAAGTATCAGCTTAAAATAAGAAGAGTCTTCTAAAACAACAGTTGAGGAAACAAAACCACAAGTTTCTCTAAAGGTGGTAACTTCCTGTTACTGGAAGCAACCAAGAAAATACCTAATGAGCAATTGTCACAGATACTGAAGGGACATTTTCTGCAGAGTGGGGTTTGGATGAGAGATCTCCCAAATTCTTGACATTCTAGAAATTATTCACCTTGTCACTATTGAGATACAATAAAACTATTTTAGTTATATATTTTAAAATAAGATTATTACAGATGCTGTTATTCACATAAATGAGATCAATTCTGAGGCCAAATGTTAATGCTTTCCATTTTACTTACTTTAAAAATTCATAAAATAAAATGCTATCACTGGTGCCTAAGTTCCCTTTAGTCTTGGCACTGATAAAATGTTCTCTCTTTCAAATGATAAAAACATGGTTATTTTGAATTCTGATCCACTCTGCTTCAGTTAAAGTAGTACATCAGAATAGAAAGTATCTTAACAAATTTCCTTGAAATTCACTGTACTTTACCCTTTTTTTTGAGACAGAGTCTCACTCTGTCACCAGGCTGGAGTGCAGTGGCATGATCCCGGCTCACTGTAATCTCCGACTCGCTGGTTCAAGCTATTCTTCTGCCTTAGCCTCCCAAGTATCTGGGATTATGCACCACCATGCCCAGCTAATTTTTGTAGTTTTAGTAGAGACCTATATTTTAGGTGTGTTTTTCACCATGTTGGCCAGGATGGTCTCAATCTCCTGATCTCATGATCTGCCTGCCTTGGCCTCCCAAAGTGCTGGGATTACAGGCGTGAGACACTGTGCCAGCCTACTATTCTGAAATGAATTTTTTAAAAAAGAAGAAGGACTCAAACAATTAGAATGTATCTAAATATCTGATTCTTTTTGATTTTAAGGCTTGTCGTCTGAATCCTGCATTGGCGGATGAACTTCACTCTTTACTTATTCATCAAAGAATTTAGACCACAATGTATTTCAACAAAGATCATCCATGCTAACACCTTACAATGTGTGTATTTTTACATTAGCTATGTTTGCTTATTTTGCACATTGCTAATTACACTATCCTGGGTATTTTACAGGTGACATGTTACTTCGTTCTTGAATTTGTACACTGTTAAGTTTTGCAACTTCCCTAGATACAGGGTCAAATTGCTGGAAGAATCCTCAAAGGTCCACCTCTTAGCCTACAGACTGGACTAGACAATTTCAAGTATCAAAACCATTCTATAAAGCAACTATCTTTTTCCTTTCTTAAATACCGAGTCTCCAAAAAGACTTAGTATAGCTTTAGTTAAATGATACAAACTTATTTAAAACCATCATTTGAAAGTTTAACTACTTTAATATTTTTATTTTTTATTTTTATTTTTTTTAAAGACGAGGTTTCACCATGTTGGCCAGGCTGGTCTTGAACTCCTGACCTCAGGTTATCTGCCCGCCTCGGCCTCCCAAAGTGCTGAGATTACTGGTGTGAGCCACCGTGCCCGGCACGAAAGTTTAACTCTTTGTCACTTATTTAGTTTTGTGAATTTTGAAAAACAACATTTGAATTTTGTTTTAGTCATTAAAAAATTTTAAATGTAAATTCGCAAAATTTAAAGGGTAAAAAAATGTAAAGAAACTTAAATAAGTGTGTGTAGCATTTCTACTTCTGAAGTTACTAAAGCTAAAACTGCACTCTTTTGAGACATCCTCTATTCTTAAAAAGGTTCATAAATAATTGGCTAATTGATTCCATATAAACTTCAAAAAAGTAGGTTATAAGACACTGCTTTAGACTCTTGCCCCTCCAAATCTTCTCTCAAAGATCTGAATTTAATGAGTAAAACAACTGCTGTATACTTATGCGGAACATGTAAGAAACAAAAAAATCAACTGCTATATGAAAATATTGATAAGATAAAGCAAGTTATTTCTTTTTGCTTCAGCTCATTTTTTTTTTTTTTTTTTTTTTTTTTTGAGACGGAGTTTCACTCTTGTTGCCCAGGCTGGAGTGCAATGGCGCGACCTCGGCTCACCACAACCTCCGCCTCCTGGGTTCAGGCAATTCTCCTGCCTCAGCCTCCTGAGTAGCTGGGATTACAGGCACGCACCACCATGCCCAGCTGACTTTTTGTATTTTTAGTAGAGTCGGGGTTTCACCATGTTGACCAGGATGGTCTCGATCTCTTGACCTCGTGATCCACCCGCCTCGGCCTCCCAAAGTGCTGGGATTACAGGCTTGAGCCACCGCGCCCGGCCGCTTCAGCTCATTTTCTACATTTTTAAAACATTGTGGAGAAAACCTCAATGAAATCATCAACAAGAACTACAACTAAATATTGTTAAATTAGCAAAAGGCTTTCCTTATATAGATTACATCTATGAAGGCAAAAGGTGACAGTAAAAACAGTAAGATTCATACGCGTAAGATTATACATGGCTATTCATTTGTGAAACAGACACATATTGAAGATAGGTCTCAAAGATATCTTAACTATCCCTATTTTATAAACATACTAACTGATGTGGCTTTATTTTATAAATCAAAACCATCCTTACAGTGGATTTAAACAAGATATTTTTTTTAGTAATGGGAAAATGCAATTAATATGGAGGTGATAGTCACTAAGAACTGCTGAATGGCAGAACATTATTTGCTCTAGCTTTATGTTCCGGCTTGTCTATATTGCTTGAACTTCAATTTGTCTTTATATTAAGAGAAGAAATTTCAACAGATTCAGGTTTGAGATATCCTCAAATGGTCATGTATTTCTGTCTCAAATCTCTTTCTTAATACCATCCATGTGAGATTCCTTCAACCACTTGAAGATCCAATTTCCCAATTAGTATTCTTTTCCACACTTAATCCAGTTCCTAAAGATTCTTTAAGAACCTTTAAGAATCTTAGCCAGATACATTGGCTCACTCCTGTAATCTCAGCCTTTGGGAGGCGGAGGTGGGCGGATCACCTGAAGTCAGGAGTTCAAGACCAGCCTGGCCAACATGGTGAAACCCTCTCTCTACTAAAAATAAAATTAGCTGGGTGTGGTGGCAGACACCTGTAATCCCAGTTACTTGGGAGGCTGAGGCAGGAGAATTGCTTGAACCCATGAGGCGGAGGTTGCAGTGAGTCAAGATCACGACGTTGCACTCCAGCCTGGGTGATGTGCGAAACTCCGTGTCAAAAAAATAGAAAGAATCCTAAAATAGATATAATAAAAGATTGGCCCTAAGTAAAGAGCACTTTCAAAAGATGGGTTTCAGAAATCATAAACTTGGACATATGCCATATACATTGTAACATGCTGTGCTTAAATGTTTTCCATAAATCCAATGCGGAATTTAAAATTTCAGTTTACTGTAGTTACCATAAAGCTGATGTTCTGGCACAAGTGAGCCCCTGCAGTTTACCACTGCTGAGGAGAGTAGTAAATCCCTTAACCTGTGAGTGTGGTGAATCTGTAACATTACTCTCTCTTCTTTCTCCCTCACACACACACCCACACCTTCTCTAAGATTCCTTATAGCTGGTATCTCATGGAAAAACAACAATTTATCATTAGAGACAAAATAATAGTGATCTTTGCAATACTAACAGCTACAGTTTAAATGACAGCACAGAATTATGCTGAAAATGGGCATTTCTAATAATTGCATTATGATAAGTTCTTTGGACTTGACAACTTCACATTCTTCTCTTCCTTTAATGTATTTTATCTGGTCTTTTCTATGGTCTTTTGAAGGATAATTTTCATCAATAGCCAACTTTGGGTATTTCTTTTAAGTATCAAATATGATAGTTTGAAAAAAGGGTAAATAAGCTATAACTAAGAAAATCTTAAGGATAACATTTTGGCTTACCAATTTTTAACCACTTACCTTTCAGAACTTGTTTCTTACCAAGAAGTTTACAGGTATGATACATATATTACACGTATATAATCTGGCATGTGTTATATACATATGTATATGGTATCTTTCAGTGATTCAAACTGGATTTTTACTCTTTAATCGTTTAATTGTTTTGTTTTCAATATTCTTGGGGATTAGAGAGGGGAAGCTATTAACATTGCATAATAGATGATGAAACCAGGAAAATTAAGTACTTGTCCATGGCGCCAGTATCAATAACAACATAAAAGCTCTACTCCGGATCTCCCCAAATGCCCCTGTGGTCTAAAAGGCTTGGTGATACAACCGAGTCCCTGAAGTGGCTGCCCTCCTCTTCCCACCCCCCCACACCCCCCGCCCCCGCCTCAGTCCTGCCCATACTCCCAGGGTCACCTCCCATCTCTCCTCCCTAACGCCTCTCTTCAAGCACTAATTGGCTCCTTCTGCTCACTAAGAATCATATATTTCACATATTTGTTTTTTGCCTGGAGAAAGGCAGCAAACTTTAAAAACGTCCCTGCAGAAGTAGTTAAGTGCATAGTATTTTCTATAAAAAGGCATTCGATAAATATTTGAACTGCCTGTAGAGTTTCAACCTGTTTTTTTGAGATATAAGTATCTTAAATATCACAGAGCACTGTGATTCATTTTTATATTTTATTGCTTTGAATGCTCAAACTATGGGAAATCTTTGGTAAAAATAAAGACAATAAAATCTTCACAATAACTTTACACAAAGCATTGCACAAAAATGTTCTTCAAAATACACATGAAATAAGAATGTTCACAATCCTCAGTGAGGAAATTAACTGTACAATATTCATAGTTCATTTTAAAACAAAATCTTCTCATAAATATTTAAAATACTTCCTAAGTTCTCACATATTAACATTTGTATTTCAATCAGTATGTTGTTCTTTAAAGTATTTATATTAAATAAAAATCAATAGAAGTTTTTTTCTGTTGCTTACCACAGCATAAGTCCCGTCCTCCCCAATTCTGCTTATTTCACATAAAACTAGAGGGAGGTAACCAAAATAAAAATCAGTGTGGTTCTCATTCAAGCCCTCTGTGGAAAAGAGGAAAATGTTTCATGTCTATTATTACACAGACATTTTTTCTGGTGGTTTATTTGTGCAGTCTCAAACTTGACCAGCTTTAAGTTGATCTAAATGAATTTCTCAGCTCAGGACACAGTTCAATTAGCAGCAGTTCCATCAGCACCTGAACCAAGAAAGAAGGAAAAGAAGTAGAAAATGTGTTTTTTTTCTCCAAGGGTTTATTCAAAATAAATACCTGCATCTAAGAGAAAAGTCTAATTTTAGGTCTGAAATTATCTCAGTAAACAAATAACTCTCAGACAGTATTTAATACTGTTAACTGTAATCAAAGAGATGACTGGGACAGTTGGCTTTGCTGAAATAAGAAAACCAAGCAGTTATGCGGCAATGTTGTATCAAACGTCAAAGGGGAATGGGCGAGGTGGCTCATATTTGTAATTCCAGTACTTTGGGAGGCCAAGGTGGGCGGATCACCTGAGGTTAGGAGTTAGAGACCATCCTGACCAAGATGGTGACACCCCATTATCTACTAAAAATATAAAAATGAGCTGGGCGTGGTGGCAGGTGCCTGTAATCCCAGCTACTCGGGAGGCTGAGGCAGGATAATCACTTGAACCCAGAGGTTGCAGTGAGCTGAGATCATGCCACTGCACTTCAGCCTGGGGGACAAGAGCAAAACTCTTGTCTAAAAAAAAAAGTCAAGGGAGATGACTAGTATGTGAGAATCAGAGTGCTGCAGCCACTGCCATCTATGCCTTTTCCAACCAAATGAAGAAGCAGACAAAAGGAAGCAAAAACCCCCGAGCTTTAATTTACTCACATATAACAGATGCTTATTGGCTCTTGTTTCTTGCAATGCATTGAATATTTTTATTATACCATGGCGGGCATTTTGCTGTCCAACAAGGCTCTGAAGCATATCTGAAAAATTAAGTTTATATTCTGTGCTGCTATTGATAAAGTGCTCAGTGCATGGCTTTGTAGTGAAAGGAATATTAACACTGTACACGTACAATCAATAAAGACATGGAGGCATGAGAAACACGAATGTTCAGTTCTCTCAAATGCTTCAGGAGAGAATTTTTCAATATAAGGTATTTATACAAATTACAATTTTAATATTTTGCAATTACTAATTTTAATAATTAAAATGGTAGTATTTTGCTAAAAATTAAGCTCTCAAAACACTATAGTTTAGCAGGATTTCTAAAATACAAAATCTATTATCTATTCTAAAACATTTTTCAAGTTCTTAAGATTCTCAGTATAGCTTCTTAGCAAGTGACAAAACATGGCTTAAAAGAGCATGATCCTTTTTTCACTGTAAAGAATGATTAGCATTCCTCTCATGATCTCTATGCTTTTCGGGGGAACAGCCCAGGCCTCACCTGGAAT